GCAGCATGGGGCGAGCCGCGCCGTTGGGTGCCGAGTAGCATGGGCCTCGCCTTCGCCGCACCTGGTTGCACGTCGTCTTTGTTTTATTTGCCCAATCCAAAATGCAGCCCAAGGCTTGCTACGGCCTGGTCTCGATGGGGCCTTTGCCTCGGGCTAGCGCACCGAATGCGAGGCCGCCGGCGAAGAAGGGGTGCGCAAGGATGGGGGCGCCCACCAGCTTTTTACTGGGGCTGTTAGCGGCAAAGGTGCAAAGCCGTGGGCCAAAAGCTGGCTGCCGTGGGGCACCGCAGGTGAGCCGAGAAAGGGGCGGAGAGGGTCTCGTGTATACGGGCCCTCGGCGGGCGGCGGGAAAGGAGGCCCGCCACCCAGCAGATCGGGTGCAAATCCGCCTTGCGCTGTTTGATTGCGGCGAATACAAAACTGCAACCATCTGAATAGGAGGCCCCGGTGCAGCCCACAAGCGCCGCGCCGACCTTTTCCCGTTTTCACGGCGAGCGGTGTGGCAAGGAAAGCGTTTCGGAGGGCGTGGGGCCGACCGGCTCCGGTGAAAGGCTGCGCAGCTGACGGTTCGCACGAAGAGCGATGGGGCGGTTGGCCGCCCCTCCGACTAGCGCTCCGCGTTATCCAAATGCGGCCGCCGTCGCGCGTAAGGTGTGCCGCTCGCACCCCCCCCAAAAAAAAAGAAGAGAGTACGGCATCGTGTCGTCTGGCTAGGCGGAAGCGTCAGCTCCGCCCGCGACCACACCCAGGCGGACGCCCAAGTGTTGCGACAAATAACACCACGCGGAAACGATGCTTCACCAAGGTTTCGCCCCAAAGACTCCAGGCCGCGAGTCGCCCCAGGTGGCGCAGCGGCAGCCCGCGCCAAGGGCCATGGGAGCCGTTGCGTTTCCAGTGAGGCCGTTGCTCGGCGGGGCGGGTTCGTCAAGAGAACCACCCGCCGGGCGGAAAGTGCTGGGTGCGGTTTGGGAAGCAGTTTTCAAAATGCCGGGGTGTTTCCAGAGCCTTCCGGAACTTCCGCGCCGCGAAGGTCGCCGCGCCCCGGCGAGCCAACCGGCCTAGCAATGTCGAAGGGGTGCCGGGGTTTATTAGCAGCTTCGTTCTTCACGCCGAAGCCGCCAAAGACCGCGCGCTTCTGTAAGCAACCCTCGAGCCCCGCCGGCTGCTCTCGCACCATGGCGGGCCCGCCCGCGGCAGGTGAGGGCGTAGTCAGCGGCTGTTGGCCCCGGTTCATTCGCGGGAGGCGGTGCCGGGGCAAAACTCAGAGTGGTGGGTGGGGGGGTTAATGGCGAAGCGAAAGGCAGCCTGGGGTCCAAAGCGGTGGGTGCGGGCGGGAAAAAGTTCCGCGGCCGAAGGTCGCCGCATCCCGGGCCGCCAGCCACCCCTGACACCTGCCAGGGGCGGGTTTCGTTGCTGCGGCTATTTTCCCCCGCCGGCGAGCCCCGATGAAGCCGGTCGCCCCCGGCAGGCGCCCTCCACCCGAGAGCCGCGGCAGGGAAGGGTGGCGGAAAGAACAAATAACAAAAAAAGGCGGGGCTTGGGTGCGGCGAGCCGGCCGGCGCCAGCGCCGGGTGGCGGCGGGGAATAAAATGGGTTTCTCGGCGTTTTTTTTTTGTGTGAGCGTGCGGGGGGGTTACCTATGGGGCTTCAGCCGAGTTTTTGTTGAGGCCGAAATGCGCCAGCCCCCGTTACTAAAACTATGGTTTAAGCGTAAAATTGGGCGTGCGTGGGATTGGGTTGGTGGATTCTTAAAGGTCACGCCCGCGCGCCCCCAAAAAAACTTCGCGGTTGCATCTCGCTTGCTACCGCATTCTGAGCGCAGGGGGAAGTTGTAAAGCGAAATGTCACCTCGGAGGGCCGTTTTTCACGCTGCCACGCGGAATTGCGCGGCGAAAGGGCCTCCGTTTCGCCCCCCACTTTTTTTTTTTGGTTTGCGCCAGCATCCACTGCAGTTGTGCTTTTTTTTTTTGGGTGGGGTGGGGTGAGGTGGGGAGGCGTTGTGGCCACCGCCGCGCGGCGCGAGATTGCAAGAACACGAGGCGAAATTATCCTTCATGGTGCCGTGCGGCCCAGCGCCTTTGATGCCGCGCGATCTCTTCAAAGCGTCACGAAAGAAAGGAAACCCACCCCATTCCTCAGACAAGAAACGCGCCTCGTGCAGGGAGCACAAGTCCGCCGCGCCCCGGTGCCCGCACCAGTCCTTTCAGCAGGAACACGCTCCAACCACTCCACTGCACCCTGCGAGGCAGAGGGACCGTGCCTAGTCCGCGCGTTCCCGCTCTGGTGATACAACGCCCGCCCCAACCCTAGCATGCCAATGGCAGCGCGGGCACCTCGCACCCCCCGGCACCTCACTACAACCCGGTCGGCCGGCCTCACCAGAGGAGCTGCCTGCAACTCCACCCGTCCGCTCTCCGGCGATGTTCAGCCGTGCAGGAAGCCGCCGCCCGGATCGAGACGCGCGACGTGCCACAGGATGGCGACGGACTCGAAGACGCAGCCCTCCTCTGTCTGCAGCGCGGGGTAGCGGCCGCACAGACTGAAATTGCAGCAACACCTACTCCATCCCGTTCTCGCGGCCAAACCATCACGGCTTGAGCGCCACGAGCACGTTGGCGAGGGCCACCGCCACCAGAACACTCGTGCGTGCACGCGTCCTCAAAGGTTCACACCGCTCCGCAGCGTGCTCGACATGGCGCGTGTGTGTTTTTTAGCTCCTGCACTTGCAAAGGGCCTGCGCGGCAAAAAAACAAACAAACCAATAAGAAAAAGAAGGACTGCAAGATGCAATGAAACGGCAAATCAACACAAATGGCAGCTAGGCGCGGAAACAGAAATGTAATGGAAGGACACACACGCAGCGCGGGGAATAGGCGCAGTCGACAAAAAAGACAAACAAACATAAAATAAAAACACAAACCCTGTAAAGTGAAGCCGAAGCGTGGGCACGCCCACCGAGCAGTGGGGGCAACCAGCACGCACGCACTCCCTCGTTTCCCGTACAGCCCAATCCAGGAAGGAGGAGGGCGAAAGAGACCGCCCACCGAAAGCAATGAAAACTAACACAATTGAAATGATTAAAACAGTTACGGTGCTCTACCCATGCAGCGAAGCAGAACGGTAGCGGCCGTCGAAAGCAAAATAAGACCAACGGGCCTGCATGAGTGGAAGTGTATATATGAGCACATTACTTGTGTGTGCCTCGTGGGTTGAGGCGAGGGCGACAGTCCGCGCAGGAGGACACACACAAAAAGAAGAGAAACAAAACAAAATAAAAAGGACGAGCTGCGCACGGCTTTCTCTCTCTCTCTCTCTCTCTCTCACGCGGCCAACATTGCAACCGCCGCCGCACACGCAAGAAGAGGAAGCAGCGCAAGGGGGGAGATGCAGTGCGAGGCCGCGGTGCTGCCGTCACTA